TGTGGTCTGAAAATATGCAGGGAATGATCCCAATCTTTTGGTACCGGTTGAGACCTGGTTTGTGATCTAGGATGTGATCAATTCTGGAGAATGTTCCGTGGGCACTAGAGAAGAATGTGTATTCCGTTGCTTTGGGATGGAATGTTCTGAATATGTCTGTGAAGTCCATTTGGTCCAGTGTGTCATTTAAAGTCTTTATTTCCTTGTTGATCTTTTGCTTAGATGATCTGTCCATTTCAGTCAGGGGGGTGTTAAAGTCCCCCACTATTATTGTATTGTTGTCAGTGTGTTTCTTTGCTTTTGTTATTAATTGCCTTATATAATTGGCTGCTCCCATTTTGGGGCCTAGATATTTACAATTGTTAGATCTCCTTGTTGGATAGACCCTTTAAGTAGGATATAGTGTCCTTCCTCATCTCTTATTACAGCCTTTGTTTTAAAATCTAATTTGTCTGATATAAGGATTGCCAGCCCAGCTTTCTTTTGGTGTCCATTAGCATGGTAAATGGTTTTCCACCCCCTCACTTTCAATGTGGGGGTGTCTTTGGGTCTAAAATGAGTCTCTTGCAGACAGCATATTGATGGGTCTTGTTTTTTAATCCAATCTAATAGCCTGTGTCTTTTGATTGGGGCATTGAGCCCATTTACATTCAGGGTAACTATTGAAAGGTATGAATTTAGTGCCATTGTATTGCCTGTAAGGTGACTGTGACTGTATATTGTCTGTGTTCCTTTCTGGTCTATGCTGCTTTTAGGCTCTCTCTTTGCTTAGAGGACCCCTCTCAATATTTCTTGGAGGGCTGGTTTCGTGTTTGCAAATTCCTTTAGTTTTTGTTTGTCCTGGAAGCTTTTTATCTCTCCTTCTATTTTCAATGATAGCCTAGCTGGATATAGTATTCTTGGCTGCCTATTTTTCTCGTTTAGTGCTCTGAAGATATCTTGCCAGTCCTTTCTGGCCCGCCAGGTCTCTGTGGATAGGTCTGTTGCCAATCTAATGTTTCTACCATTGTAGGTTACATATCTCTTCTCCCGAGCTGCTTTCAGGATTTTCTCTTTGTCTCTGAGACTCGTAAGTTTTACTATTAGATGTTGGGGTGTTGACCTATTATTATTGATTTTGAGAGGGGTTCTCTATGCGTCCTGGATTTTGATGCCTGTTTCCTTCCTCACATTAGGGAAGTTCTCTGCTATTACTTGCTCCAGTATACCTTCTCCCCCCACCCCTTTCTTCTTCTTCTGGGATCCCAATTATTCTAATGTTGTTTCATCTGATCGTATCGCTTATCTCTCGAATTCTGCCCTCGTGATCCTGCAGTTGTTTCTCTCTCTTTTTTTCAGCCTCTTTATTTTCCATCATTTGGTCTTCTATATCGCTGATTCTCTCTTCTGCCTCATTTATCCTAGCAGTTAGTGCCACCATTTTTTATTGCACCTCATTAATAGCCTTTTTGATTTCTACTTGGTTAGATTTTAGTTCTTTTATTTCTCCAGAAAGGGTTTCTCTAAGAACTTCCACGCTTTTTTCAAGCCCATCTTTAAAGTCATGATTCTGAACTCTAGGTCCGACATCGTACTAATGTCCGTATTGAGTGCGTCCCTGGCTGACTGTACTACCTCTTGTTCTTTTTGCTGAGGTGATTTTTTTCGTCTTGTCATTTTGTCCAGAGGAGGAGAATAGATGAATGAGAGAACAAAATGCTAACAGGTTAACAACGTCCCCAGCAGATATACTGTATACAAATCAGGAAAGACCTGAAACCAGGGGAAAGGAAAGGTAAAGAAAGAAAAAAGAAAGAGAAAAAAAAAAGAAAAAAAAGATAAAAACAAAAACAGGACAATACAAAAAAAGCAGAATATGATCAAATATGATCAGGCTAGTGCATAGATCAGTGCTACACACTGGATTTTGGGCGTATTTTGGTCTGTTAGAAAAAAGTGCCTCCTAAAATTTTAAAGGAAGAAAGACATATATGTACAAAATAAGGGTTGGTACAATGAAGGGATGGAAGATGACTGTAAAGATGAAAATTATAAAAGATTTTATAAAAGGAATTGATAAGATAAGAAGTTGTTTGAAAAAAGAAAGAAGAAGATTTAAAAAAAAAAAAGAAAAAAGGGAGAGAATGTGATCAGGCAGGAGACTAGAACAAAGCTGTACACATAGTGGGCATTTTATTTAATATATACAAGAATTCTGTGAGAGGGTTATTACTGCCTCGTTGTATAAGTTTTATAATAAAGAAATTAAGGGGCAGAAAGAGTAAGAAATCTATACAGATTCACATATTGGAAGCAAAGTCAAAAACTCTAATCCAGTGGTTTACTAAATTTCCATTGCTTTAAAAAAAACCAAAAACACCTCATACTACTGCAGTCAATAAGGTCACATTTATCTACCTTCTTAAGGAACCAGCAACCCCTGCACCCTCCAGTAAAGAATTTAAAACCAAAGGGACCATATTCCCTATATGCTCCCTACTCCCACCCCAGCCCACTGGGCCTCTTTTTAGAACTTTCACAGAAGTATGTCCTCATCCTGGGGGAAATTACTAGATGTCTACATTTCCTGACTATAGAAGTCTGAAATGTATTCTGTCATAAAACAGGATGTGTGGCAACCATAATCTTCCCTTCTCAAAACAGAAGGGTTGTGGTTTTCTTTCTGTTGTCTGGATTCTGGGACTTACCTTTGGTGTAGAATTCTGTTTCTTTCTTTATCTACCATAGACTCAGCCTCTCCCCCAACACCTGCCTCAACTGTAGCCTTTATTCCTTGCTACTACCACATCCAGTGCACCCCAAACACAAATTATTTCTGGTAACTTCCTTCAAGCAACTTCTAACACTTAATGTATTATCTCATTTTTTAAAAATTATATTTTTATATATAAATAAATTTTATACAATGGCCATGCTAATTGTATAAAAATTATGAAGCCTAGGAATATAGGAACAGAGCTTAGTACTGTAATAGACAATACAACAATAATTTTCTTTGTCATACATCTGATGATATACACAGTCATTGTGGTATGCTGTTTTTAGACACAAATGGTGAGAAGTTTACTTAGAGGACTATAATTTCCATTAGTTTAATACAGTCCTTCATTATGGCTTAATTCTTGTTACTCCAAACACAGAGGTGTCTCTTTTTTCCTTTCCATTTACTGAGGAGGGTATGTGGTTGATATTTTGTTGCAAGTGCTGAGAATAGCCAGGATGCCCCAAGACTTTTCTTGCCTTTCTTCCAGTATGGCCAAATGAACTCTGTTTCCTTCTGCATATGATTTCCATTTGTCTCTGGTGTTCCCTCCCTACTATATGCCTACTTCTTGCCTATACCCTATGTTTCCTTGAGTCGTCCTCCTCTTTTTTACTCCTTGGTCAACTGGACCAGTTCTAAGTTGGTGTGATGCCAACAGTATAAGGCTGTGACATCTTTTGGTCACAAGGCTGTACGTGGTAGCAGGGTCTCTCTAAACTGCAGGCAGGAATATCTTGTGACCACTGGAGCCCAGGAGACTATTATTAATTCTTAAAATACACTCAAAAAGCATGGTCAGGTAATAAAATCTACTAAAATGGAGATTCAGGTCAAAACCAGGAAAATTTAAGCCTGAGTGTCTTTTCAGGGCTTTGTTGAAAAACATTGATCAGTTTGCTTGGTCATCTTGGCTGTCTGGTTTTCAAAGGGATTCCTGGGAGATTCCTGACCTGGCCAGACCCCTGTCCATTCCTGTGAACAATGTTTTCTCTGCTCCAACCTTGGCTCCAGGAACCCTTCCCTGGGCCTGGCTTCAATTCAGACTGAGGAGGGCCTCTGCTATCCCACCTGAGGTAGGGATGGGGGAGCATGTGAACGAGGGTCCCTTGGGAATAGAGGTGCGGTCAGGAAGCTGAGTTTATCTCTCTTCTGCCCCTGCTACTCTCTAAATATTGTTTTTACCTGCTCAGTCTGCAGTTTCTCCTCAGTAGTAGGGGCATGTGCTTTGAGGATAAAACAGAACCTGGCAACAGCCTAAACCCTGTTGATCAGTCAAAAATGCTCAGTTCTGTGGAAACAGACTTTGTCACTATATCAACTGAGTTGTCTCCATAAAATGACCCTGTCTCCTGGACATGGCTAGCACCCAGTCCCCTAAAGCAGAAGATCATTTCCCTACATAGGCAAGGACCTCTCATCATAGATAGATGGGTCATTGACTAGATGCCTGGTGCAGATCTAAGTGTCATGGGTGTGACACAGGAAGTGGAGCCTCGGGGGAGCTGCTGGCCCAGAATGGGGAGTTTGCCTCTGTTGTGTGTATGCGAGTATATTTGTGGAGGGGCCGTGGAGCAATTTGTTAGGGAGCTCTGTCAGTGACCTGTGAAAGACTGATACACTAATTTGATATTCTATATTTCCTGGACCAATCCCAATTATATATTGTTTGCTTTCTCCAAAAGCCTATTTGTCATTCTTGTCAGAGGCCACAGAGAACTGCAATCATTTGGCTGCCTTCTCACAGATCCAGCGGAAGTTGATGTCACACGGCGCAGCATCGTATGTCTTTGTTAGGCCTATCGTCACACAGTTGAAATTCTGATGTTGATTGGTAACACTAAATGGGAGAGAAAGTGTGGTGAAAGCCAGTTGTTTCAGCCCTGGCTTTACTGAGTCCAGCCCCTCCCTCCTTCATCCCCAAATCCAGCTCCACACCCGCTCTTTCCAGACTCAGGGTCTTGGATTAACTCACTCTTGTGCTTGGTTAGAAACATCTCATCTGCCGTTTCCTCTCAGAAATATTGTTTTCATACTGCATAGGCTATGTTCACAGCAGGAGGAAAGAGAGGAGGAGGAGAGAGGTTGCTCTTCCTTTCATAGGCACCAGCTGGCTTTAGGAGAAAGTGTGTTGGCCTTCTCCCACCTCTTTTTCTGTCATTCAGTCTGACTGGAAGGAGTCTGGTTTCATGGAAACGTCATGAGTTTTGGAGTCAAGGGGATGTGGGATGAAATTGTGGCTCTACAGTTTCCCAGCTTGACGATATTCAGTACATTTTTAAACCTCCCAGCTTCAATTCAACTGTTCAATGAGGATGAATAAAAGCTTTTTCTACATCTTTGTGAATACTGTAGGAAATGACATGAGTAAGTACTTAGCAAGTGCCTAACATTTAGTAGACATTGAGCGAATCTTAATTTCCTTATTTCTGTGAGAAGCCCAGTTATAGGCTAGGGAACTCTCTGTCTGACTCAGCGTCTTCATATGTACACCTGGAATGTCATGTTCTCCACCAGTACTTTACATAAAGAAGCCCCATCTGGGGAATTTATAAGAACTTAGTAATAAAGTATGGTCTGTGGGTTAAAAGAGACTTATGAGATATATCAAACAAATAGTATGTATATGGGTTTGTTTGGATCTTGATTTCATCAAAATAACTCACTGTATGACTACTCTTCTCTCTACTTACAAATGTTTGATATCTTTCTTAATAAAAGTTTACCAAAAAATGTGTCTCTGGAAATAGATGAGTTGGAAGAAAGGAGAGGAATAAAACAAAAAAACCCAAGTCTCATCCTTTGTGATATTCCAGGACAAACCCACTGAATCTCAGGTCAGGTTTCTTTAGGTGAACTAAGATCCTTAGAAAAATGTGAGATATTCACATACTTGCCATTGAATATGGAGTTGTCAATCCAATGCCAACTGTTCTTTGCTTGCTGGTATAAGCCAATAAAATACTTCTCAGCACCAGTTTTGTCCTGGAGAAATTTCTAGAAGTTAAAAAAAATAGTTCAACAAAAAGTTTTTTTGCTGCTGTCTCCCTTTGCCAACCCTGATTATATCTGATTCTGGGAACATGGAAGACTGATAAAGGACTCTGAGGCTGGCTTATAGCTGGCATTCACCATAACCCCTAGAGTAGTTTTCAGTAGGTACAGCATCAGGATCACCTGGAAGTCTTGCTAAAACACAGCTTACTGGGCTTCTGGTTCAGTAGGTCTGGTGTAGGGGACCAAGAATTTACATTCCCAACAAATTCCCAGTGTGATGCTGATGCTGCTCTTCAGGGATCACATTTTGAAAATGAAGAGGAAGGGTACTATATGATCTAAAAGAGGGCACTTTTGAATACTTCTTTTTTATTTGGAATACCTCTCTGTATAGGATTATTTCATTGCCAGAAATTTTACATTCCAAATGAGGTTGGATCAAGTGAATCTCTTGACTACTTTTCAAGGCAATACAGTTAGGGAGATTTAAAAGTGTGTTGAGAAATAATCAGTGGTTTTTGAGTATTTGCTAAATTGGCACCAATCCGTGATATAATAGTTTCTTTATTAAACTAATGAATCACAGATCACTCCAGCTTGAAGTCTGGGAGTCCCGGGGCTCTTTCCTGTACTCTTCACATATCTCCTGTGATGAGTGGATATCCAAATTCACTTGTATATTCCCTCCGTCCCCAGGGCTATTGCCTTTATTCCTCCTTTTCCTATATTCTCCTTCCCTGAAATATCTCATTTCATTATCCTTTAATATTAGTTACTGTACTTACTCATTTAACAAAGATTTCTTGAGTGTCCAGTGAGCCATTGAACAAGACTGGACATATGGAAACAAATTGGTTTCTCCTTAAAGAAATTATGATCTAAAACAAGGGTTGGCAAAGTACGGCCAGTAGTTTAGCCTGTTTTTGTAAATAAGGTTTTAATGGAACACATCCAGGCCCATTTTTACGTGTCATCTATGTCTGCTTTTGAGCCACAAGGGCAGCATTAAGTAGTTATGATGGAGATCTTATGACCTGACATACATAAAATATTTACTCTATGACCATTTAAGAAAAATTTGCTGACCCATGGTTTAAAATAAGGGTTCTTAACCCTTACCTCTCTTACACTAAGTCATGGTTGGTTACCAAGGGGATCTCTGAAGCTGTTAGAACTTTATTCAAACTATCATGCTAGTGCAGTGTTTCTGGGATTCTATAGATTTCTGGATATTTCTATAGATTTGGTCACCATTTAAAAATGTCAACGATCCCAACATGGTGAAGATTCACTGGTCTAATACGAGAAGATAGAGGAGTTAACCAGCATGGTGGCAAGGTGTCCTAGGTGTAGTGCTGGTGAACATGTACTAGATATAGCACAGGCAGAAAGGAGGAAGTGATCAATTCTACATGGATTTGGGGTTTTCTAGAAAGACTGCAGATGAAGTGATCCTGGAGATGGATTCTGAGAGATAGGGGAGGGCGTGGGTCAGGATGGACTTCCTGGAGGAGGGAGCATTGGATCATAGACAGACTGCAGAGCAGCCTGGAGCATTTGAGGAACTCTAAGATGCTTAGTGTGGTGGGGCAGAGGTAGAAGGGAGGTGGGTGGAGAGATAAGACTGGCAAGGAGGCAGATGCTAGGCTGTACAAGGCCTTATATGTCAGGCCTGGGAAACCGGACTTTAACCCAGTTTAATTTGTAAAATGGCACAGACAGTTTAGAGGCTTAGAGATGTTATCGTGTGGGTTCTATGGAGTATAGGTAAGAAGGGACAAAATCAGGAGCAAGGAGAGGAGTTAGAAGAATTCTGAAGAAATCCAGGTGAGATATGAACAATTTACTGTGGAGAGAGAGAGGAAAAGACTTGGTTAGCAGCTAATTTAGGGGAGAAGAGAAGAGGTGAAGTCTCAGAAAATCATCAGCATTCAATCTTGGGTACCATGACTGCTTGCCAATACTTGGAACACAGAAGGAGGAACGGGGTGAGGTAAAATATAATTTGGCTCAGTTTTGAAAATGGTGAGTTTGTGATGCTTTTTGAAACATCAGAGTGGATTTTGATATACCGTTTGTTCCAGAGATGGCTAGCTGGGGATACAGACTTGAAATCACTAGCAAATCCTTGGTGTGATGAGATTTTTCTGGAGAATGCTACGTATGACACTTGAGATGCGCCAGAACTTGAGGGTTGAGTAGAGGGAGAGGATGTCAGCTTCCTCTACTCAACCCTTTATTCCTCTCTTCTCTTCTTTTCCACTCCCCTGTCCCCCACCCCATATTACTCCTGGCTTTCTACTATAAGGCATTTTCCCTTCCCATCTGTATACTTAGCCTCAGAGGCAGCATCCTGACCCCTACTCTTTGTTGGACACCTGTTACCAAGACTCAGAGAGGGCCCTCTTATGAATTCTCCTCAACCACAGGAGGACTTTATAGAGGAAGTGTGAAAGATGGAGGGCAGAGAAGCAGGTGTGCAGTATCTCCCACATGCCTAGCACTCAGAAGATGCTTAGGATTTGAAAGAGAGGCAACTATAAACTAAAATAACTTATGATCTAAAATTGATTAGAATGTGGGTTTTAGAGTTGGTGAGATCTCAATTCAATTCTGTCCTGTCACTTAGGAGGTGTATGACCTAGGTCAAATTATTTTTCTGTGTCCTAGCTTCCTCATATGTAAAGTATGGATAATAATAATACCTCCTTGGAATCCTTAGGAGGATAAAAAGAGATAGTAAAATAAAGGTTTTTGCATTGTGTTAGCCATCTTTATTATCATAATTATACACTGCAATCCCAATTCTATGACCTGATTCTTTGTTTTTCATATGGCTAATTTTGTTAATTTGCATCTTCCTTATTTATGAGGCCAACTTGGATGATACATTAGCTCTAATTCACAAATATGAAGTATTCTATAGTTTTTAAACAACTTTTAAGCACATTTGGTCATTCCCTGCACTTTAAATATCCTGGCCTGTCCCCAGGATACCAGTGCACTGCTAAGCCTCATGGAAGAGACTATAGAGTGTGGATTTCCCTAGCTCAAGTGATCTGAGGCATACACCCCACTACTGAGAAGAGTCTCCCACCACCAGATGCAGAGCAAGGAGCTTGGGCTCTCAGCCAGCCACCTCTCTATTTCTCACCTCCACCTTGCCCTTGCTCCATCAATCAGATTGCCCCATTGCCCCACCATCTCCTGCTGAGGCTGCTGTAGGGTGGGCCACTTTACTGTACCCCCCTAATGCTCTCACCAGTTTCCCTGGCGTGTCCACAATGGCCAAAGTGGATCCTTCTGTTTTGCAAAAGTCCCTGCTTTTGTTCCAGGACAGTTCAAAAGGGGACAATAAAAAGCATCTTCTTCGATGAAAATACCACCCTCTGGAGCAGACTAAAGAAATCCAAGAAAAGAGAGTATAGGATTAGTGGTTTGGAGTGTGAACCCTGGAACTGAGTCAAAACATAGTGGGGCATGAGTTTCTTTATAGAAGTTATATCAATGCAAATCATCCTCCATCCTGGAAGAAATCCCATGCAGGCTAATCTGAATTTCCCTGTGGACAAAGTGAAGGGGACGAATTAGAAGATCTTTATGGCCCCTTTGAGCAAGAACGTTCCATAAGCAAGGAGGTAATGGGAAAAGTGTCTAAGAATTCATCACATACGAACCTGGGATAGAGGAGAGATTATTGTCATACATTGTACCTGTTCCGGAGCTCTCTGTGGGAACTAAGCTGACATTACTGCTCCCGATAGTCTGAGGAACTAAAACAAAAAGAAAACCTGAAGGTAACTGCATTATGAGTACAACACAAACATCAGAGCAGCTGTTTGGTCCCTGCAACTATTTGTCTCTGGACAGTGGCGATGAGAAGGCACTCCTGGCCACCATTGGCTAGAAGTTTTCATTTTCTTTCTTTGAATTTTCCATCTAATTACTACCATTTTTAGTCATGCCCCACACCCCATGTCCTATTCCATATATTTTTTGGAGGGGGGAGTAGGTGTGAAATGTTGAGAAATAGACCAGGAGAAAGGAACAGGAACGGGTGAATTTAGTACCAGAAAGGAAACCTCTCATTCCTTTCCATGTATGCCTTTGACGGTGTTGCCCCCTCCGCTTCTGCCCAGGTGCTGTTTGGAGCACTTCCCCTCCTGGCTGTGCACAGCATCTGTGCTCTTCTCCCCATCTCTGGTGCCCCTAGTCCCGTGTGAACACTCTTCTCCCATGGGTGGCTCTTGGCCCCACTCTCATCAGCACGTGCCAGCCCTAAGAAGTGAGGCTAATGGGAACTAGTTTCAGGACCAGGGTCATTGACAGACATGGAGGCAGGTGAATGTTCCAGAGATTTCCTGTGGGCAGAGAAGAGTCCGTTTATGTCTTTAAATATAAATAGGGGAATTGATAGGCCTCTAAGAAGCCTCATTTTTCCTGAGAACACTGGCTGGCCAAGCAGACAGTGCAGTGGCTTGGAGGCTGGTCAGACCTCTCCTCAGCTGCCCAGTTATTTGTCCTATGTGGCTGAAGACCACTTTAGTTTACCCAGACACCATATCAGCTACTTCCAATTATATGAATGAAACATACCAGTTAGCATTCACTTTTTATTTCAGTTCCCAGTTCAAAGGCTCTTTGTATTAAAAAATAACCTGGTTTTCAGGAGAAACCATTTGGGGATTATAACTGCACAGCACTTCATAAATATTTCATGAATACTGCTTCCATACAGCTCACTGTACTAGGAGCCTCAGTTGATACAAAGATGAACAAGCAATTAACTTTCTCCTCAAGATGTATGTAGTAATAAATGTTTTAAGAGGAAGTGAGAGGGAGGTCCTCGGGAAAGTTTTAAGAGGAGGAGGGTTTAATCGGGAGAGCCAAGTCCCATTCATCTCTTTATGCCACTTAGCTTCTCGCATGGGGCCTTGTGCTTTACCGAGGACAGCTGGCTGATAGCTCCTCGTTCTTACTCTTCTTCTGTTGTTGGTCTAGCAGAGTGATTGGCGTACAAAAAGTGCTGGTTACAATCTTTGAGTTTTCCTGTGGGAAGTAGGTTTTTTTTTTTTTTTTCTTTTGTATAACAGTTCCTTTAGGTATACAACATGTCAGAGTTTATAAAGTCCTTTCTCATGACATTACAGTGATTATATACAAATCATTCTCATACTCAGGAGGAAAACGGAGGATCACAAACTTTGATCAGCTTAGTCTGGGTTTCCCATCTATAAAAACAGGGGAATTAATTAGAAGATCTTTTTGGGGGGGCTCCTGGGTGGCTCAGTTGGTTAAGCATCTGTCTTTAGCTCAGATTATGATCCTAAGGTCCTGGGATGGAGCCCCATGGTGGGCTCCCTGCTCAGTGGGGAGTCTGCTTCTCCCTATTTATTTGAGAGAGAGAGAGAGAGAGATAGCAAGAGAGCATGAGCAGGGGGGAGAGGGAGAAGCAGGCTCCCCTCTGAGCAGGGAGCCCGATGTGGGGCTGGATCCCAGGACCCTGGGATCATGACCCGAGCCAAAGGCAGACGCCTAACGACTGAGCCACCCAGGGGCCCCTAATACAGTATTGTTAACTATAGTCACCATGCTGTACATTAAATCCCTATAACTTATTCCTCTTATAGCAATTAGTATATCTTTATGGACCCTCCCTGCAAAAGAATTTCTTAAGAGAGGAGGCCTTGAGGAAGGACTATAAGAAGTCAGCACACAAGAACCTGGAGGCTGGGAGGAGATCATGGTCGTGCACATTACCTGTTTCACAGCTCTCTCTGGGAAGGAAGTTGACTTGACTTTCTCCAAAAATCTGTGGGACTGCAAAGAAAATCAGCTATTGGCCCAGCCCCAAAAGTGGCTGCAGGTTGACTATAACAAACCAACATCACCCAGGGGCTGCTGAAGCACCGTGACTATTACTGTGAGATCTGGAGCTCTCTGACTCAGGTCAACGAGGTTGTGTATGTGTTTTTTTGTGCATGTGTTTACTTATTCGTATTCATATTTTCTTCCTGCTCTCTTACATGATAGGAATTGTGCCTTCAGCTGGGTGAAAGGAAAGACACCTCTCTACCCAATTGTTGTCTTTTACTCACATTTCCTTCCTCACTTATGTTCCCTACTGGTTTCTGGGGCTGGGGAAGATTTTCACAGCTACAGCGAAACCCTTTGATACAAGCCTTCTCCTAAGTGTCTGGATAAAAGTTTCTATGGACATAGAGGGAAATTTGTCCCCCAGTAAAATCCCATTACCTCATCATGCAGCTCTCAGCCTCATCATTGGGTTGAACTGGCACTGATTTTCAAGTTTGAGGAACAATAACAAGCACTGATAAGTATTTCACCTCAGATTGCCCAACTAACACTGTAGCGGCAAAAGCTTTGTTTGGTATTCTGTCAGACACTAGTCAGTTCTATATCTCCAAGGCAGTCCAAGGGACCCGCTGGGGAGTGAGAAGAGCATTGTCAGTTCCCCCACACTGGGTCATTGCCCTCAGGTGGGAAGACTTAGGCGTGTAGCCTTTATATTCAACTTTGCATTCTGAGAGGAAAGTCAAAGAACGAGACAGTATGGGGTTGGGATAAGAGGTTGCTCAAATACTCACAATAAAGCAGAAATAAGGTCATTCCAACAATTTTAAGCACCACTATGACAAGCACAGAGATTATCATGTGCCAGTTCATGATGAAGGTGATGAGGAGGCCTGTGGGAATTAGATACGTGTTTTGAGAGAGAGAGAGAGAGAGAGAGAGAGAGAGAGAGTATCACTTTAAAGATCTGGGAGCAAGTCTTCTTTCTAGCAGGACGCATGCTTCTTTCTCAGAGCACCCTTGGGGGGCTTGAAAGGCAGGTGTGCCATTAACAGCTAGCTACAAGAATAAGGTCCAACCCATGCCCAGAAGACACATAGAATTTTGTACTGATTGGGAGCCTTTGAACTTGGCATGGTGCCTTTCCTTCACCCATACCTTAGCTCTAGACTTTAGCCCTATCAGTCACCTCCTAAACTCTGTCTAATGAAATAAATCCTCTCCTGGACTTTAAGAACCCTTAGCTTTGAAATGACCCTGCTCTCTAGGACCTTCTCTGTGGTCTTGGCCATAATGATTTCAGCTGTCAAAAGTCTCACTCTCCAAAAGACTGTGCCAGGACTCTTACAGACAAGACAGGTGTCCCCAAAGCTCTTGGAATTGGGGAAGGGCCAATAATCTGTGCAGGGAGGACAGACAGACAGACTCACCTGCTCTCTCTTGGGAAGGCTGGCCTAGTTTGCAGGTGGGGATCTTCCTGGTGGCCTTATGCTTGGTGTGGTGGGCAGAGGAACCTTCAGAGAATATGCTCCTTCTGCTCAAGCACTGTCATTCCTTCTTTACATGGTCTTTCTATCTTGGCAGCATCCCTGAGCAAACACTTCTTCCTGTTCAGTGTTCTTGGCAGTGGGAGTGGGTAGGGCAAGGAGGGGAAGGGAGTTTATAGCCTTTGCAAGAGGAAGCTTCCTGCCAGAGGGTTTCTAATACAAGGGGACATTTTTTTTTTTTTAAAGAATATTTAGTTCTAGTCACTGTTAACATCCCTGGGTGTATGTTCTTTCTAGATGACTAGGTAGTGAAAAGATAGATGATAGACCGATAGATGATAGCTAGCTAGCTAGGTGATAGATACTGGTTCATTTAGAAAAATGGGATCATACTGTATACATTGTTTTGTAATCTATATACTATAGATTAAGCTAGCACTATATAAATATCCTTCCATGTTAAAATATAGATTTTATACTTACAAATGGTCAAAATGGAAAATTTTATGTGTATTTTACCACAATAAAAAAATGAAAAAAAAAGGGAAAAACTGAGATTTGACTTTGGTAATCTTCACATGATATTAAGATGAAAATGCGATCTTTAGCATGTGTATTATGCAATATAACAATTGTCTTACTAAGACAATGGAATCTATAAACTGTAATTACCAAAGAGTTCGGGGAGATAGAAAACCATGCCCATACCTGTTCTTGGGAGAAATTTGGACACAGTATATAGCTAAACAGGCTTCTGGGTGTACTGTGGGTTTGTTGTGGGGAAAACAGTGTGTGGGTGGGTGGGTGGGTGAGAGAGAGAGAGAGAGAGAGAGAGAGAGAGAGAGAGAGAATTGAAATGGGTAGTTAAGAACTCTTCCAAGGAAGAGCAAAAATAGGGGCCATGGAGTTTACTTTCCCTCAGCTTCCAGGATCAACTATTAAAGCTGGCAAAGTATGGCACCAAAGAGATGGACTGCCTGTTTTCAGAATCTGCACCCTGTGGTGACAATAGCAGCAAAAATACGAGTGACGTAGGAACTATGACTGCCCTCTTTGGATTGATAAGCAACCATCGGTATCATAAGGTCCAGTCTGGGAAGGAAATCTAGAAGAAGGGCCTCCTATGAGTCATTGCTTGGTGTTTTGGAGTGGTATCAACATGACTATTTGCCAAAATGACTGTATTTTATACTTCACACAGAGAAAGACAAATACTGTCTCTTGAGCTTTATTTTTAGGCACACATACATTTAAATGTATGTATTTCCTTCACTATATATTGCAGGAATTCTTTCAAGTAGTTTAGAGAAAACTTGGAAATTGAAAGAGACCTGATGTTTCCTCTTATCTTTACAGTCACAATTCTTGAAAGGATTGTCAGTTTTTACTGCCTTCTCTCCCTCCCCTCCCACTTTCTCCTCAGCCCACTCCAATCCAAATCCCACCATGACTACATCACGAGATAATGACTCCTACTCAGTAGTTAAACGCATACAGTTTGGTCTTCATATTTACTGATCTTGAACAAGGGCCCGTATCATCTTATGTTGTATACTTTTTCTTGGCCTCCACGAGTCTACATTCTTCTGGTTTCCCATCTTTCTCTTGAGCCTCTCCTTTTACTTTCTTCTCTGCCTATTCCTCAAATTGTATTCTTATCCCTCTTCTCTTCTGAGTCTCATGGTTTCAATAACCGTGCTCATGAAGGTGATTCTTAAATCTTTACTCTGAGTTTCAGGTCTGTATATTTTCTGACTGTTTCATTTTTCACTGAGATACTCCACAGACAACCTGGAGTCAACATGTCCCTAAATGAATTAATCACTACCCTCTGCTAAAGGGGTTCATCCTCTTATGTTCTCTCTCTCGGAACATGAAAACCATCTCTTCAGTTGCCCAAATCATAAAATGTGGGTCTTCTCCTTCTCTTCCCTTCCCTCCCCTTCCCCTCCCCTTCCCCTTTCCTTTCCCTTCCCTTCCCTTCTCTTCCACTCAGACTCCACGCCATGATGATTCTGTCTCCTCAAGGCTGTCAAACCTGTGTTCTTTTCTCCTTTCTAACGGCTACCTCTTGCTCTCTCACTGGCTCTATCCTCCATCTTCTCAACAATTTCCAAAGAAACCTCTTGCCATAATCTTGCTTCAGCAGTTCACTCTGCATCAGAATGATCCTTCTAAAATGCAGACTTGATTGTATCATTCCCCTAGTGAAATATTTGAGTAACTTTCCATTGCTATTAGAATAAGTTTTGGGTTCCTCAATGTGGTCTGTGAGTCTTTACATGTTCATTCTTTCAGCAAATGTTGCTGAGTGCTTGCCATATGCCAGATACTCTTCTAGGCACTTAGGATATATGTTCTGGTTTTTCTGTACATCTCAGGGTACCACATCTACCCATGCACTGTGTGCTAGCAACGTTAAACTTCTAGTTCTTTATACACTCCTTGGATCCAAGTCTTCATATATTCACCTGACATATACTTATTGAGCACATAATTTGTGCAAAGCAGTAATCGAACCACCTCCCCTCTCCCAAGCACATATATATATATTCTTATATACGCTCTTTAACCAGATAATTTTGACTCATTCTTTGAGTCTCAGGTTAAATGTCACTTCTTTCAGGAAAATTTTCCTGATTCTCCTTCTTTACTCCAATTGGGTTTAGGTGCCCTTTATCCGTGGACTCATGATATCATGTACTTTTTCTCTGAGGGCTAAAGGAAATGCATGATAATGCACTTGTTTGCTTCCCCTGCTAGACTCTATGAAGTCGTGAAGGCAAATCCACAGTGTTTGCAACACTGCACTATGGCATTAGGCTTCTAGGCTTGTTGGATTTTTATCATTTACTCATGAGAGTGTGGTAGGGCCTACAGAATAACTTCCAATCAATTAAAAATTTCTGTAATATTCTTTGTGTGAATTAAGTAGTTTTCAATAATGATAACTTAAGAGCTAGACCATCTCTGAAGGTGCTGATTTCTGATTAGAAAATTTCATATCTCACTTAAACAACCACCCTGAAGTATGGATTGGGACTATAGTACTTCACATGATAACTAACCACCTCCTAGTTTATATAGAGTTAATTTATGTTCATACATATGATGCTAATACTGTGTTATTTTAAAGTACATTGCCACTCAGACAATGGCAACAACCCAGAATTCATAGAATGCATGGAATAAACCTACTTTGGGAGCAACTAGAAGAACACTTTACTGGAACTGTGTTATGTATACCCTAACATGAAGAGTCAGAAGCTGGAGGTGAGGGGTGACTGTGGAGCCTGGAGAGGGGAAGATTTAGAGCCTGTGGGAAGGGTGTCAGGTCCTGGAGCCTACCAGAAGCAGCATGGAAACACTCACAGTTGGCTTCCACTTTATGCAGTGACTCACTGAATAAATGAGAAGTCATGCTGCAGAGGACAGTCATCCACCTGGATAATGAGGACATTACTGCATCCGTAGCCAGCTGCCGTAGCATCAGGACAAAGAAACACTATGCCCAGTAGTCAGACTTTCTGCTCAGGTTGTCTCTGGTTGGGCAAAACAGTACCGGGGGGGGGGAAAACTCTCCCCATGTTCCTCATCAAATCCTCTAAGATTTGACCCTTTTAATATCTAAATGGTCCCATTGTGACCTTGAATGTGGGGGAGACTCCCTAACCTCCCACTTCCAAATTTAACACAGAGGAAAAAAGATCAGTGGGTATGTGAGAATGCAATCACTCAAAATAAGATGAACACTATGAAGAGAGACAGGCTGTGTTTGTGACATAAAGTCACTAGCAGACACAGGAGATGCTAGAAAACATCTCTTAGGTTTTCGCTGAGATTTTAGAAAACACTGACTGATTCTATAAAAAGAATGTGCCCTCATATCATGAAATGGGCAAATGCTTTAAGATGTGGTGGCTGATGTTTGAGGCAGTTGGTGGAGTGAAGGGTTCTGAACAGCAGATTAGATACTGCAGAAAAAGAATGAGAATATTCAAAGATATCACTGAAATGTCAATTCAGAATCCACAGAAAAAGAACCAAAGAAAGAAAGGTTACTGGAGGTGGAAGAGAATATAATGCTGGATCCAGTAGAAGTTCTACATACGCTGCACTTTGCAGAGGAGAGAACACAAAACCGAATAAATATAAGAGCTGCAACAGTCTAAGAAATTGTAAGAGAAAGTGTAAGTAAAAAAAGCTGAAGGTTAGGCAAAATCAATGAAAAAGGTCCAAACCTACATAAACTGGTGATTTGTTTCAAAAAGAATAAAAAGAAAATATATTCTAGAGGCCTCTGGGTAGAAAAATCTATGATGGAAGTAAAATACTAGGTTTGTTTCAGGTTCTTGTTCAGAAATTCTAAGTCCCAGAAGATAAGTCAACATCTAGAGTTTTGATGGAGGTGCTCAGGAACTAATAAGTAAAATACATGACAGAGTTTGACTTAAACTTGCTCGTGGGATATGGCTGGTAGATCTCTGAACTTGGAGCCCAACCCCTGCCCTCTCCACATGGGGAGCACACAGAGCCTGTCTGTGGTCGCTGGGGTCCAGGCCTAACTGATGGGAAGTGTAATGGGAGGCAAGAGTCTACCCTTCTCTTTAGTCTGGAAACTCAGCAACCTTCAGGAGAATTCCTCAGAGCGATGTCCTTGCTCTGTGCCTGTCAAGAGAAAAATGACACCAGTCTAGAATAATCCGTGATTACATTCTGGGCAATTTGACCTGAATAACACCTTCTTAAGAGCTTCTCTTGTGATTCTCCAGTTCCTCATCTCTTGTGACCAAGTGCCCAAACAGAAAAACACTGTCACACCCCATTAGAGAGAGGTCGCAGATTGGGATCAGAGGTTGTGGACTGGCAGCCCACAGATTGCATTTAGCATGCAGCTATATTTTCTTTGATCTGTTCAGTGTTTTAAGAAATTTGAGTAAACATTTTGAAATTTGGGAGCTTTCAATAGATGTCAAGGTATCTAGAAGTTCTAACACTGCTGAGAACACATTCCCACAGGGAGCAGTGGGCTGGAGGTTAGAGCAGGAGTCAGGACTCACCGGGTCTGTCTCCGGTGACACCTCAGTGGAAAAAATCCAGTTGGTAGCCATTGCCAAGTTTGCAAAGCTGTTTTTTTTTTTTTTTTCTTCCTTAGAGTAGAGCACAAGTTTAAAGTCAGGCCTCTACTGA